AGAATTAAATTAGGCCCTTATACAAGCCATATATAACAACCCAAAGTGAACCAACACCTACATGCAAGAGCTAAACTATAAAACTCTCATAAGAAAATATAAGGCCAGCCAGGTATGGTGGTGCACACCTTTACTCCCAGCATTCAAGAAGCAGAGGCAGGCAGATCTCTGTGAGATCAAAGCTAACCTGATCTACATAGCAAGTTCCAGGTCAGCCAGGGCTACATAGAGACCCTGTCTAAGAAGCAAAAAAACAAACACAATAGTGGCAGACAACCCCTTGTAACTCCAATTCCAGAGGATCCGATGCCCTCTTCTGGTCTTTGTAGGCATTGCATAAATGGCTGCACTTACATATATGCAGGTAATACACCATACATGTAAAATAAGAATAAATCCCCCCCCCACCAAAAGATGTGATCAGCAGAGTAAAAAGTATGGGAGAAAGAAAATATTTGCCAATAATATATCTAATAAGGAACTGGTATTCAGCACATACAAGTCCTACAACCCAACAACTAAATGACACCAAGAGACCATCAGAAAAACTCTTGATGCCTTAATGGTAAAGTGACACCAAACAGACAAATTTTTCCTCCTCAATATGTACTATGAGAAATTTTAAGGCTGAAGAAAGTTGAAAGAATTGTACAAGGAACACCTACAAATCAACTATTTGTGTCTGTAATTAGCCCGGGGCTGTTCTGGTTTTACCACATATCCATTCTTCTGTCTGCCTGTCTGACCCTCTGCCTGACCATCTCTCCATTCATCTGATTTCTTTGTTGGATTTCAAAGTATGTTGCAGGTATCAGTATATTTCACACTAATCATTTTAGCAAACATTTCTATTAAGTACAATTCAGTGTTTAAGGTTCTTTCTAGGTAAAATATACATGTAATGAAATTTACAGGGCTTAAATGCACCATTTAGTGAGCTTTGAAGAGCTGGGTCAGCTCCACTAGGGGTTGTAGATTGTCTACAGTAACTGTGGGAGTCAGTTCAATGGAAGCCTAGGAGGCAAGAGCAAAGGACTTTTGAGGAGAGGCCAGGAGGATGAAGATACTTGGAAAGCAATAAAATTCAAGAAGAGAAAGGGATATGAAGTCCTGGGGAGCCTTAAGGATCCAGGGGAATTTTAAAAAGAGGAGCTGGGCAAGTCCAGGGAGTGCAGCTTTTCCTGGAAAGTGAGATTGGGCACTGAGACTGCAGGAGAGGGCAGAGCACACAGCCTGGGAGAGTGAGGAGGCTGTGCAGAGTAATATGAAAGGAGTCCAGGGATGTGGGGCAGTGCAGAAGCAGATGTGCCTAGGGATCAGCAAGGGGATAGTCTCTTCCTCTATGGAGTTCTAGGCTAGTGAAGCCTTCCCACCTCGTGGAATAGTTAGTTCTGCCTTCACAAACCCTAGCCTCAGATTTGGGGGTGTCTTCAGATCTCTGGATTGACACAGACCTCTCCTGTGGGCCATACATTATTGAGTCAATGTATTCTTCCCTGTTGGATTTTGTGGTTACTACTCTGTAAGCCTGAGGTCAGCCAGCTGACAGGCAAACAGACTGTTTGTGGATGTGGGACAGTGGGTGTTAGATGAAGTAGGTGATCTCTCCATTGCTATATGAGGATCAAGGTCAGCCTGAAACTGGCCTCTCCTTGTCCAGGGATTATGGGATGTATATGTGTGCTATACCTCCTATTGAGACCTAACCAATGACTCATAGCCGAGAAAAGCATGGTGTCACACTGGCATGGGGTCGCCCCAGGAGCCTCTGGCTTTGGTAGCAGCAGGGAATGCTCCTTTATGAGCTGCCTCTCTGATGTTTAAACTTGTACCAAAATGGAAAGCATGAATGCGGTATCAAGCATGATGTCAGTGTCGAGTGATTCAACACCAAATGCCTATTCTCCCAGGGCTTGCAGGCAAGCAGCTGCTCTCCACAGGAAGGAACTCTAAGTGGCGCACATCTGCAGCCTTCCTTTGTTGCAGGGATAGGGGACCAGAGTGGCAAGAGAACCTTTTAATTTGGAGGCCATTAGAGCTTTCTGGCAGTCTTTTGACAATGAGAAATTTCCACCCTAGGAACATCCTGCACGGCCAGATATGTCAAACATGGCTGGGTCCCATCTGAAGCTGACACACAGGGTGGTAGGTCCCAGGCCACTAATGTGGAAGATATAAAGGACACCTCCTATTCCCCTCATTGCCTCAGAGACCAGTAGAAGGAGCAACAGGGAGTGGCCATGCAGACAGATTGTTCACAGCTGTTTATTCAATGTAGGGTTCACAGAGTCTGCTGCCTGGTCCCCAAACCTCTGAAGTCTTGATGGACTACTTAGCTACCCTTCTGCACACTGAACAGTTTGAGTAAAGGAACATTTAGGAAAGACTCTTTCAGGAGAAAGTCCTTTTAGAGCCACAAAGCCCACAGGACCATGCCTTTGCAAATCTGCAGCATGCTCCTGGCTGAGTGGGCAAGACCCCTGTGGAAGTCACATTTCTAGAGCTTCTGCTTCCCCTCTTCCAAGCTGCTTCCAGCCTGCATACCACACAGAGCTTTCCCTTCCTTACTGCCACCCAGGCCCCCACTGGGCTAGGGTGCAGGGATTCCACAGAGGTCCCTGCTGGCAATAAGGGTCAGCTTGATAAAAGTCAGTGTCTGGCAGAGTCATCTTCTTCAGAGTAACCCAAGAAAGTACCCCAAGCTCTACCTCTGGCTCCTGGAACATGAGTCATGAGACCTGCACATCTGGGCAAGTACCATGTCAGGACATCAGGGCCCTAAGGAGTTCCTGTCACACTGGTAGAAGGTTAGTCCTTCTAATTCTGGTGAGCAGCTTAAAAGGTATCTAAGAGTCATAGGGTCCTCCTGGGCTCAGCTTCCTGAAGGAGAGGCATCACTCTATGTTGCTAAGAATGGCTGCAACTGCTACTGGTTCTGAGGCCCAGGGGGTCTGTCACAGCACTGTCCCTGTGTACCCTGACTAGTTGGATAGGTGGGTGGGGATGTACAACCTTCATCTTTCTCTAGTCTCATAGCATGGGCATGGTAGGGACCTTGGAGCAGGGAGGAAAGGCTAAGATATGTCTCTCCCATCAAACTACTGGAGGCAGAAGGGGAAGTCTTTCTGAGTTCAGAGAGCTGCCTCTGCTAGGGTCCTCAGGAGGCCTCATGAACCAGGTCTGTCTTCCTAAGCCTGAGCCTGGGAGGGGTTGGGAGAGAATGCGGTCAAAGCTCCTTGCCACTGTCTGGAAGAAGCTGGATAGAAATAGCTGCACCCATCTGGGAGATGAGTCACTGAGGGGTGTTTCAGCCATTTCTTGAAGTTCTATTTTAGGTGAGATGCCTGTGGCACAGCCTGGGTGATGGGGGCTGGGGAAAGAAAGGTGTTAATGGTAAGTACAGGAGTTTTACCACGTGTCTTTGTTTAGCCCAGTCCAGACACATGTCAGGGTCACTCTGAAGTCTCAAGACAGGTAACTTACCTCCCAGATCCCAGGAAGTCTTCCCTCAGGTCATGACAGGAATGAGACCTTGAGTATGGGCTAGGTATCTACCTCGGGAACTGATTTGTTGGCTGCCACCATGGGGCAGAGGATGGCCCTCCCATAAGGAAGCAAATCTCTTCCGAGAGTCCCTTTCAAGATGTACAGAGGCAGCCTGCTCCTGGGAACTCCCACTTTGATGAGAGTAAGCCCCTCTCCACCTAGAAGGAACTTTCTAGAGGAGGATGTACCAGGGACTGAAATATTTTTTTCTGTTACTTCTATCCCAATGTAGACAGTTTCCTTGGATCTTCAAATGCACAGGGGTGAGGTACAGTTCCCAACTGGGACTAGACTTCATACCTCACTGCCTCAGCATCACTGTTTTGAGTTTCTAGAGCTGGGCTTGGTCTTTAGGGGAGAGGGGTATTCCACTGTTTGCAGAGGTGATTTCTAGACCCCTAACTTGGCCTAACATAAAGTTGAATGGCCTTCAGAAGAGGTGGGACCACGGAAGGCACTGGGCTCCAGGTTACCCAGGCTGGGGATCAGGAGGTGAATAGATGTGTCAGAGCTGCTCTTGCCAATAGCAATACTTGCTAGCCAGGTGGCCACAAGAGCATGTTGCTAAATCACTTCAGCCTTTGTTTCCTCCGCTGTGAGGACAAAATACCCATGAAATGTCTTCTATGATGCTTGGCATAGGGGGGTGCTCACAAAAATGCAGTGTTCTCTCCAGCCTTGGGTGCTGCTTTTGAAAGGCCATTGGGTGGGAAGCCTGAGCTAGGCTCTCCACCCGGTAAGTCACCCACAGCAGCAGAGACCCAGTGTAGCCCTGAGGCTTCATGAGCTCTGAAAATCACTTGTGAGAGCAGGAGGTCCAATGTGTCAGGAATGAGATAGCCAAGGAAAAGTGGCAGGAAAAAGAGATCAGACAGAGGGGAAGGTTGTGCTGGCTCATGGTGAAGTTTCTCTAGTGTATTAGGAGACCACTTAGAGGTGTTTGAATCCGTATGTGATATACTCTAATTTATAAGTGGCTTTATTTGGAAAAACAAACCTGTAGTATTGACTTGTGTGGCTGAAAGTCCAAGGATGGACTTAAGGCACAGCCAAATCCAGGGAAGTAAAGGCTGTTGTCAGATCTACTCCTTTTCTTGGCTCTCCTAGAGCTGTCTGTTGATTTCATTCTTAGTATCTCCCTGTATTTTGGGAGAGAAAGCTGCTGACCACTACCAGGACACATACTTCTGACTAGTAATCCAAAAGGAAAGGAAAAGGTGTCTCTGTTCTGCTATTCATTTATCACCTAGGTGACCTGGAGGACTCTAATTGGCCGTGTGGCAAGATAATATGTCCATCCCTGTACAGGTTCAGGGAAAGTACATGTTTATTACATGACTATTACATGAATGGGTTGGTATCCCTGCTTGTGCTAGAAGCCAACCCTGGCTGCCATGGAACTTTGAGCACCATGACCCTGGTCACACTGCTAACTGTGTTGCTTCTTTCCTCAGGTGAAAGAGTGGCTCTGTCTGAACTGTCAGATGCAGAGGGCTCTGGGAATGGATATGACCACTGCACCTCGTTCCAAGAGTCAGCAGCAGCTACACTCCCCAGCCCTGTCTCCTGCCCACTCCCCAGCCAAACAGCCTCTGGGGAAGCCAGAACAAGAGAGATCTCGGGGCCCAGGGGGACAACAGCCTGGTCCCCGCCAGGCTGAGACAGCCAGAGCCACCTCAGTACCTGGCCCTACCCAGGCAACTGCCCCTCCAGAGCTGGGGAGGGTATCTCCTCAACCCCCTTTCTCCACTAAGCCTTCCACAGCTGAGCCCAGGCCACCTGCAGGAGAGGCCCAGGGCAAAAGTGCCACCACAGTGCCGTCTGGGCTTGGTGCTGGTGAACAGACCCAGGAGGGTCTCACAGGGAAGCTCTTCGGCCTTGGCGCATCATTGCTGACCCAGGCGAGCACCCTCATGTCTGTGCAGCCTGAGACTGAAACCCAGAGCCAGCCTTCCCCCAGCAAGGGGCCACCCAAGATTGTCTTCAGTGATGCCAGCAAGGAGGCTGGCCCAAGACCCCCAGTCTCAGGGCCTGGGTCTGGGCCAACACCTGGAGCCAAAACTGAGCCTGGGGCTAGAACAGGTCCTGGACCAGGGTCGGGAGCCCTAGCGAAAACTGGGGGAATAGCCAGTACAAAGCATGGCAGAGCAGAACATCAGGCAGCATCCAAGGCTGCTGCCAAGCCAAAGATCACGCCGAAGGAAAGGGCCACCTGCCCACTGTGCCAAGCCGAGCTCAATGTGGGTAGCAAGGGCCCAGCCAACTATAACACCTGCACGACCTGCAAGCTCCAGGTGTGCAACTTATGTGGCTTCAATCCAACCCCCGATCTGGTGGAGGTAAGAGAGCAGGGCCAAGCATGCTCCCTTGAATTATGGTGAGGGACCAAGGCCTAGATTAGTGGTGGGGGGAGGGGCATGGGAGCAAGAAAAGGCACAGAGAGCTGGATCTGCAGCAGTCAATGGGCTGCCCTTAACAACCAGTGTTGCAGAGGGGCTACACTCCCTCTTTTGCTCCTGCCTCATGCCCCAGTCCTTCCACTCAGAGAACTAATTGTCACAGTAGGTGGAGGTAATGTTGGCTCTTACTGTCTGACCAATACCTTCAGAAAGGTTCCAGACTTGGGATACCCATTTCCAGCTATAGTGAGCATGTTCCTAATGAAAAATGCCTACTTCACTTATCAGGCAGGAAGATCCTGAGGCCCCATCCTGTTCTGGATCTGCAACTCTGAACAAAGGAAAACAATTGAAGGGCCATGGGCCTGGAGGCTTTTCTCACATTGAAGCAGACTATGTCCTACTGCCCAGGCTCCAAGCCAGCCTGCAGATATCCATACTCAATCCTCTTCTCTCAAGCCATGGGTGTTGATATTTACTTGTCAAAGTCCTAGAGCCTTTGGTCTGCATATTTTCCCTGGTTAGGCCTGAGCTCTCTTAGGGACTACTTGTGAGGATGCTCAAAGATGCTCTTCTTATCCATTGGAAAGTTTGAGGGTAAGCCAAGGTAGAGACCATTCTCTCTACTATCCTTGCTCCAGGAAAGGGTTCTAGCACTGGGCAGAGCCAAACAGAAGGGAGAAAGAGGCCTGCTGTCAAGGCCAGTGTTCTTGTCAAGCTTGGAGTCTAGCCTAAATGGCCGGAAAGAAGTACCCGGGAAGAGATGAACCATCCTGGACCTTGTGATTGTGTTTGTTCTTGCTTTAATACCATAACTCTCACTCTCCCTTGCCTAGGACCACCAGGTAAACCTCACCATGACTACCTTTAGAATGGCTGAGCATATCCTCTGGGGGGTCTGATTGGCTCATCTTGCCAGGTGGATGTATATAATGTCAGGAGTTGATTGGGCCAAACCCTCTGCCTCCTCATGTTGGGGAAGCTACATAAGCTACTTGTGCTCTTCAGTTGAATCATGCATGGCTGATGGTGGAGCAGGAAACACAAGCCGCTGCTTGGCCAGGGTGGGACAAGAGAGGGTATGGAGCGGCTATTGTCTCTATGCTATCTTGTTCTGACTTCCTTGGACCAGGCCTCCTTGAGAGCCCCATGGTAGCTACCCTAGTGTGACTAAGAAGACTACTAGACCACACCACAGGCCATATTTTCCAATGTATAGGGGGGGAGCAGTCCTGAGAGAGATGAATGATGTTTTGTGTGATATTCATATGTCCCTCTAGACAACACCACCTCTTCAATCTGTAGGCTCAGTGGCTCACTTGAGGACACCTGGTCTGGTCAGCAGTAGGGAAGTACATATCAAGGAGTTAGTTTCCCCAGAGACTGTTCTATCTAGATACTTCTAGATATAAGCTCACTGCTGGTAGGATGAGGTGCTCTTATACTGGGATCTATGAGCACTGGTAGGCTTCTAAGCTAGTCTGGCTTGAATGACCCTTGTCTCCAAGAGACATTTCAGCTCATTTTTCTCACTAAGCAGTATGTGCATAGATAGGAGGGAAACTCTGTCGAGGAGCATAAATATTCCTGACAATTCCTTTTGGCTGCCTCTGGGTCAGGCCACAGGAAGTGCTGGAGCAGCTCAAGCAAAAGTGTTGCAGTTACATGGTGTCTTGAGATAAGATAACTAAATTCTGATTTAGGCTTCTCTTTACCTGCTTGGTTCTTCCTTTCCTGGACCCTGGACCTTCTGCCTCTCAGCTGGCATTATCCCCTACCATTCCCTACTATCTTATGCCCTGCCTCAGTGATATCTTCTTGGCCAATGCAGTCCTTGCCTCCACAGTCTGTCTGATAGGTTCCATGGGCCTGATAGCATAGCTGATGGAGTACTAGTCCTAGTTCTTCCCAAAGTCAGATCGTCTTCCTCTGCCTGCTGCTCCTAACAGTTGTCAGAGGAGGGTGCAGCCCCTCTTATCTCTTTCTTTCAATAGCTCTGTCTATTGCTACTGCTGTCCTCAGAAGGCCTATGACAGCTCTAAGGAAGATGTGGACTGGCAGCCATAATACCCCTTCCTATGGATCCTGCTATGGAGCCTTTACAGTTGCCCATCTTCAGAGATGCAAGCCAGCAGCCCAGAGTCATCCTCAGCTCCTCTCACCTCAGCATCCACTCCACAAACTAAGCATTCATGGCTCCTCCTCCTTCTGTCACAAAAATCTGGCCTCGTTTTCCACCCTGTGGCCATAACCATAGACTTCCCTTCCTGGTCCTCCCATCCAAAAAATGTCCATGCGTTTATCAAAACTTCCTGCTGATTTGCTGAGACTTATTTATTTATTTATTTATTTGTTTGTTTGTTTATTATTTTTGGTCTTTTTGAGACAGGGTCTCCCTGTAGCCCCAGCTGTCCTGGATTCGCTATGGAGACAAGGCTGGCCTTGAACTCACAGAGATCCGCCTGTCTCTGCCTCCTGAGTGCTGGGATTAAAGGCATGCACTAGCACGCCCGGCAAGACTTTACACTTTTAACTTTCAAATCCATAACTAGCATATAACATTACTCCATCACAGTGGGGAAAGGTGTCCTTAGGACAGAAGAGGCCGTCGGATCCCCTGGAACTGGACTTATGGACAGTTGTTAGCTGCCATGTGGGTGCTGGGTCTTCTGCAAGAACAACCAGTGTTCTTAACTGTTGAGCCATCTCTCCAGCCCTGAGACCTTTTTTTATTAAAATATTTTATTATTTTTATTTTATGTGTATGAGTGTATTGCCTGCATGTGTGTACACCTATGTCATGCAATGCCTACAGAGGTCAAAAGAGGGTGTCGGATCCCCAGGAACTGGAGTTAAGGATGACTGTTAACCACCAAGTGAGTCCTAGGAATTGAACCCAGGTCCTCTTCAAGAGCAGCCAGTGCTCTTAACGACTGCGCCATCTTTCCAGTCCCTTGCTGAGACTCTTTTTTTTTTTGGTCTTTTTAAGACAAGGTCTCCCTGTAGCCCCAGTTGACCTGGAGCTCCCTATGTAGACCAGGCTGGACTCAAACTCCCAGAGATCTGCCTGCCTCTGCCTCCCAAGTGCTGGGATTAAAGGCATGCGCTACCACACCCGGTCCCCTTGCTGAGATCTTTAACTAGGCCATGGACTTTCTTTGATCTCACCTCAGTGAATGGTCACTTTGCATTCTATACAATTTTGTGACCTACTTTGCACATTCTCCATTAGAGCCTTCTGATTTCTCACCAGGTGCTAGGAGACTCGCCCTTGCCTTGGGATTGAGGTGCAGAGCCAGAACATTAGTTCTTGTCCAGGCCTGTCTCTTCCCACACATTGCTTGGCTAAGACCAACTGCTAGCTCAGAGTGACTGAGCTGTGTCTCTGTTCACCATGTGAATCAGACACTAGTGTCCATGTGCAGGGATGGACAGCCTCTTAGCTCCCCATATGCTTAGTGGGCCTGCTGGGGCTTTACCTGAGGCTAGGCCCAACTGTTTGGACCAATAGGTTGGCCATCTTCTTCAACATCTGTGGCCATAAAAATCTTTTGTGGGGTTGGGGATTTAGCTCAGTGGTAGAGCGTTTGCCTAGAAAGCGCAAGGCCCTGGGTTCGGTCTTCAGCTCCAGAAAAAAAAAAAGACAAAAATAACAAAAAAGACCAAAAAAATAAATACATAAATAAAAATCTTTTCCTTCTTTTTAGATAGAGATTTCTGAGCATGCCACAGAAGAGGCACTAAAATTGGACCCATTTTTTTCTTGAAACTTCCTCTAAAAAAATAATAACCACAGTGCTATTTAGTGAGTCATTTCATAATTAAGAGGGTTGATTCCAACTTTTTTTTAACCTATTTATCTTTTTGAAAGATAATAGTACCCTCAGGCTTATTTTTTAATTGGCTTTCAGTTCAATATAGTATGAAGAAATTAGTGGAATTGTAACAGTAATATCACCAGTTTCTTATTTTATTATCAGTACCAAAATTTCAGCTGTGCCTTTGAGAAACGAGGCCTCCCTGCACAAAGGGTCTTGCACCTGTGACATGGAGTTGGGCTAGGCTTTATTGGCAAGCATCAAGTACAAGCCAACAGCAGCCTATGCTCCTGATTTACCTCACACTGGGGCAGTGATCTAGCAAGTCCTATTTCCCCACATGTGGAATGGACAGTAATTCTCCTTATAGTGTCCATGTAAGCTGCTGTACCTCAGATGCAAGTCCTCACAGTGGTCAATTCCCAAGCCAGGAGACTGAAACCAAAGTGTACTAAAAGAAAGTCTCCATGTGGGGAAGTGTCTCCATAAGCCCTTCACCATCTGGATGTCAGTAAGCATTGTGGTCAGTCCAGGCTCTTGGACTCCTGAGGACCACCCTATAGGGAATGAACACATTTAGTTCTGAGGCTCAAGGAGAGCAATCCAAGCTACAAGGGAACACACTGGGGACACCTGGTAAGAGTCTCCTTATGGAAGGCAGAGATCCAGAAAGAAGCTTAGGCATACCTGGGGGCAGGTGATAGAATGCACATCACATAGTCAGGAGAGGACCAGTAGTCTGGGGCTGGCCAGGCCTATGACCAGTCTTTACCTCTAGGTATCCTTTTAAGCTTTGGGATTCTTTTTGGGGGAGGGGTTTGTTTTATGAGACATAGTCTTACTATTTAGCCCAGGCTGGCCTCAAACTCATGGCAGTCCTCTTGCCTCAGCCTCCCAAGTGCTAAGATTATAGGCATGAGCCACCATAGCCAGTGTTCTCTGGGGTTCTTATTCACTGCCCTTTGGTCTGATAGAGGAGCTAAGGGTGTGTATGGCCAGACAGCTGGCCATGAGATATAGATCAGAATAGTATCTTTTTTTTTTTTTTTTAGTTTTTTTTGAGACAGGGTCTCCCTGTAGCCCCAGCTGGCCTGGAACTCACTATGTAGACCAGGCTGACCT